TGTGTAATGAGATCTTGAATATAGCTGAGACCTCAGTGAGGTACTGCGGCACGTTGTCCCACCACCCTCTCAACGCACTACATAGACTGCACTCCCATCCCAGTAAACAATCTCTGATCATTTCCCAGCAACCCCTGTCCCAAAGCAGCAGCCCAGAGCCCAGCCGTCTCAACTGTGCAATGTAAGTTGGATCTACCAGCATGTACATTTGCGTTTCACATCGACAACATATGGACAGAATTATCACGACATGAGGTCATTACATCTATAGAAAGTGGACATGGCCTCATAAACGGAGGTGCTCCCTTCTTTGCAGCTATAATATCATGCACTCTTAGAATGGAAGATTAAGGTGCTTTATTCCAAAGCATACCACAGCATTTGTACAGGTGATGGATTGAATTGGCATGTATAGCAGCTAATCAGACATTCTCACCGGTATTTTTTTTCCAGGTGAATGCTGTCAAAAAAATCCATTTCGTGTTCACGATGTGATTTGTCATTGGTTTGACTGAATCTTCGTCACTGGTCTCAAGTTGTCTGTCTTCGCCGTAATGTTTACCAGTGTCCTCCTCTGCTCCACTCCAGTTTCCAAGCTCTGTACAGTTATGCCCCACAAAACGAAGACGAGCTCGAGCTGCAGGAGGGAGATCTCATCAGCGTCATGGAGAAGTGTGATGACGGCTGGTTTGTTGGTATGTACCGCAGGCCTCACATTCCTGACAAATGCAGTCAGCCTTACTCTGTTGCAGAGTGTGCGATTCTCCTGAATGAGGTCTGCAACCCTGTAATGCACAAGTGTACCGATTTATCACCGCACTGCCATATCATGTCGTAGGGTTACCTGTGGTGAGTCGTCATTTTCATGCACTTTGAATTTGCGTTGTATCGTATTTTGAAGGCATTGAACATTGCCATAGCGATCGGAGTGTTGCGGCCAGATTAGACGCTCCTTGTGTTTATTATTATATTTCGAAAACGCCACAGTTTTCATGCAGCTCATACCATATTATTTTGTTGTATTATTTCCGCCACACCTTAATTGCCGGTCCCTGAAAATATTGTCTGACATAAACCGGTCCGTGGGGCAAAAAAGTTTGGGGGCCACCCCTGTAATGCACAAGTGTACCGATTTATCACCGCACTGCCATATCATGTCGTAGGGTTACTTCAAAAAAGTGATGGATTCGTCAACACGGGCATTTCTCACACTTTATATTCACGCTGCTCAATGTCTTCTGTGCGCTAACAAAGCAGAGCTCTGATTCCCGTTTCTGTTTATTTACAGGTACCTCAAAGAGGACAAATCAGTTTGGGACTTTCCCTGGGAATTACGTGAAGGAGGTGAAACTGTAAAGTGTTGAATCTCAACTGTTACACGCACTTGCCTGTCAAGCTTTGGATATCGAGCATGGCTGTGGGTTAGCGTAGATATTTAGTCAAAATGATTTGTTCATTCTAAAGAATGTAAAATTGCACAGTGAAGGTGGTTGTATACTCAATGCCCAAAACACAGTATGGTGTATATGTTAGACACATGCCGGTCTCCTATGAGTATATTCTTTATGAAAATCAATCACAAGCTTCCAATCTGTTAGTGTCATTTACACTACACGCGTTTATGTCAGCAACTGCGACATTTTCAGTTGACAGAAAGTGGCAAAATGGCCGGCCTCTGAAATGGCTCAAAATGGGTAGATTTTGCTGCTGTTGAACTCATATTTCACAAACGCAGTATCAATCAGAATATCATGTTTAAAACTAGTGGAGGTGCGTAGTTAATATTATTGTAAAGAAAATTTTGGGGTTGACTTCCCTTTTTCAGGTCAAAAGTTAGCACTGGCCAGATAATTCACAACTCAAAATGCATTCATTGCTGTTTCTATGTAGTGTGGAATTTTAACACAGATAATATTTTACACAACCTTTGTCACACGCCATGTGCATGCTTTAGAAGCACTTTTTCCAAATGTGCATTTGTCTTCTATTTTCTCTCAACCACCAGGTCAAAGACACTTAAATCATATGTTGAAGAGGTAAACAGTCTAAATAATGCAAATAATTTCAGACACTTTATTTATCATTTTATGTCTTTTCTTTTAAAACATTAACATGTTTGCTGACGCCATGATGCCTCCAAGGTAGTGGCGGTAGACACCTCGCTCCATTGCAACCGCAGGACAGGCGTTGCAGCGTTTAACTTCCTGCTTGGTCATTTTGGGAAATTCCACCAAACCACATCACCGCAGGATTATGAACCTTTTGAAGCAGACAATGTGTCTCAGAAAATAATGATTTGAAAGCATCGTGAGATTCAGCACCCTTCTTGATAGGATTATATGTTCCAGTCGTGTAAATGTGTACAGCTACTTAAGAGGCCTTTGAAATATGGATACATATATTTCTAACTCCCAACGTTTAGTTTTCAAACTGATTGGAATGGTCTAGTCAGCGTTAGTGCTGCATGTGCCGTAAAAGAAGCCCAAATCACATTTGAAACGCTGTCATCCAAAAGCCGGTGTAGTGACTGTGATTTCCTACTTCCCTTTGAAAAACGGCAGTCCGAGCAATATAGGATGGTGCCCAATTCCGTTGTCCTTCTCAAATTCCTCACCGACACTGAGATGTCCTCAACAAGCTGTATATTAGTACTCACATTCATTCTTGTTGTTTTAGATGTATATAGGGCAGTTGAAAAAAAAAGTCTCAATATTTATACTGTATGGATGTTGATGAGTAAATATCTAATCAAGCATTGCCAGACTATCAGTAGCCCGTCAGTATTATACGGAGTATGGAAGCATCACAGCGTATTAGCTACATTTGTGCAGTGATGAGTGTCACGCCATATGGATTGATTGCATATTTAACAAGACCCTGTAGCGATCTGCACTTTGTCCTCACTGATGTGTGTTTCTTGAGGCAAAAATCAAGCGTGTGTTCCTGACCGTTGTCACAATGACTACAATTTACTGTATTATGAGTGTGCCTGTTATAGAACTGATAGAATGTTCTGGTATGTTGTCACCTCACAAAAGCATGTTTCATTCTGTGCCGCTGGCCAAACCGTTTGTTTAAGTTCTCATGTAACTCGAGCTCTTCATCAATGTTTTTTTGTTTTGTTTGGAGACAGCTGACCTAAGGCGCTCTCCTGTGACAGGACTATAGGAACATGACTGTGTAAAAATCAACTTCAACACACAATAAATTGCTTGTGTCATAGTGTGCGTCGTAACACATCACAGGATGGATGAATGTACTGTACGATATTTGAATGTGATCCAGTGTACGCAGGATATGTTTAAAGGTCATCTTGAGTTAACACAGAACATAAGAAGGATTGTAAATATGTATAATAAGAAATCGACTATATGATGAGAGCATCAGATGGAGCTTTCAGTCACATGCAGCGTTTTATCAACCTGAAGGATTTTGCCACAGTGTGGAACATTACTGAGCACAGGAAGTTTGATGCACATGAACATTACGCTGCCATTTGTGAGCTCATAATGCTTTACGTTTGATGCAAACGTGTGCCTCATTTTCATTCATGACTATTTCTGAAATCCATGACATATTACACTTGCCCTGCTTTCCCCATGTAGTTCTAGTCTCTGGTTGGAGTATATTCACAGAGATCGTGTCAATTACTGTGCAAGTATCAGTCGTGTGACAAAGTGATTTCAATGATTATGTTCCGGTTGAATTTGTTTGTGACACACAACCTGCAACAAGTTTGGTTTGTTTGCTTCAATTTGCAGTGCTGTTACATTGACAATATTAAAATAAAGATGCTATACACTGCTATGACTTTGATATTATGCAACATTTAATCAACTTTTCCAAACCATTGTATTAACAAAGCATAGAATCCTCGCATTGTTTGTAGGTCATTGTTAGGAAATTCTCTTTGTGCATGTCCCATTTCAGTGCTCATCTTCATCAGGGCCACATGTGATATTAATCTGATTTGGGGTGAGAGGCAGGGCACAATTCACATTCAAATTCTAGTCCACACTTTAGATCAATTTGTGCCACACAGCGTGCATATCTTGGAAGAATTCCGAGTTTCTGAATTTGAACCTTCAACCTCAAAACTGTAAACAGACGTCCCAGCTACACTGCTCAGTAAACATAACTATTAACTTTTGTTAAAAAAAATAAAATTAAAATTAAATGGTCCAATCATGTCACTTGCCACATTTATGTCAGTTTAATGATTTGTGTTTAATTCTGTTCCACTTGAGACTTTCCAAGATAACACTTAAGTTGAGTCCTCTTGATTTGTTCGTAAACACACACACACACGCACAGCACAAAAGAAAAACAGTCTCCTTTAGCATAGATGAGCTTTCTCACTCCATTTGAACAGCAATCCTGGAAGGAATTCAAGAAATGGGAGCGGCACATTCCACATCCTGGGATTAAAGCTCTACCATAAATGGTAAACTTGCATGGAACACGAATGACGGCACCCACACACAGGCTTGTCAAGCCTGCTTCAACCGTGTCTCAGATCGTTCATGATGCAGAGGAGTTACTCTGGAGTATTTTCATGACCGTAGTTTGCGAAACGACCATGGGCCTTCAAATCAAAGTCTACGATTTCAATCAATTATAATAAAAGTAAACAAGTCTTGCAAAAATATAAAGCAAGCGGTTAGCTAATAATGAATGTGTTCCAAATTCAAAAGCGTTGCATGCATGCATGGCTGCATGCGTTTCAACACAGCAAATTGACTTATTTGAGAAAAAACAAAAATTAAAAATCTCTTCTCAAATGACCTTTTATCCTTTGCTATTGAAAAGATGTCCTGTTGAAGAAACGGGGTTTTCCGGTTTACTTGCTTCACGTGACCGGCTGAGTTTACTCTGCATTTGACAATGGCTAAATAGACGATCCTCGAATATTGCCTGAACTGTTTCCCGAACCTGGCCGTCCCAGGAACCTGAGGCCCCGCCCCTCTAATACCTCTGCCCCGCCCCTCTTAATGCCTGCAGGGCTCCTGCCCATTGATCACCTCAGAGGTCATTCGCCCGAGCTTCAGGAGCGAGTGGGAACTATTTTGAGCGCATCGCGTCGTGAGCAGGTCAATTGACGTTAGTTATGCCTCTGCGAGTGGTGGTACAGGGTCCTGGGCCATGGGGATTCAGGCTGGTCGGAGGAAAAGACTTCGAACAGCCGCTGACTATTTCCCGGGTAAGTTTGGATGGCTAACTGCTAATAACAAATTGCGTCAAGCACACCTGGACTTGTCCGGGGTGGACTGAAACGCACTTAACTAACTGGCTCAACTAGATAACTAACAAGCAGCTAACTGAGGTGACGTGTCGTTGAATTGATTGTGCGTTCTAGTTGCTAATGTTAAGTTTTTGGCTCGTTCTGCAAGTGTTTTATATAATGTTACGCAAAGAAGTGAATCTTTAGGTTCTGTTTTTGTCTTGATGTTTGGAACTGCAAACTTGGGAGTTTGAGCAAAATACGGGTCCACATAGATTTTGTATGCTGAAACTCAGTTGAATAGATTTGAAAAACGTTTTTGTTCAGAGGTTCGTAAACGCATCTCAAGCCCGAACGTACACGACTGGCTCACACTGGGACTTTTTCTTTCATTTTGCCCCTCTGATCACCAAAATATTAGACTGTTCACAAAACGATTCAATGAACTTGTATACCCCTACAAACTCAAACTACAGTAATGAAAATACTTTCCGTTTATTGTCAATTAAAACAAGCATTTTGTGTCTTTCTAAAGGTCGAATTTTAAGCGTCTGTCCTGAAGGTTGTGGCCAGTTAGTGTGAATACAGTATCTTTTAGTCTGTTTATTTTAGTCGAGTGGTGGCTGCTATTTTTGCGTCTCAGAGCTCCGTCCTCCCAACCCAAAAAACATGATTACGGATTCCTGAGCTGTGCCAAGTTTCTTGTTGTCAGGGCTTTATTTTCAATACTGTCTGCCTCCCAGCTCACTCTGCCTGTTTTTGTACTGTAAACAAACAATAACACACATTCAGGTCAGTGTGTGACGGTCAATTATCCTGAGTACAGCAGTGTATAAAAGCCTCTGTTGAAATTAGAGATTTGGCAAAAAAAAAAAAAAAAAAAAACCTGACACAATAACGATTTATTGTTCTTCAATTGTCTCTTTAATGCAGGTGACACCTGGAAGCAAGGCAGCCGAGGCCAATCTCTGTATCGGTGATGTGATCTTAGCTATCGATGGTGAAGCCACAGACAACATGACTCACTTGGAAGCACAGAACAAAATTAAGGGCTGCATACAGGAGATGGCACTTTCTATAGACAGGTAAGAGATCACTCAGATGATCACACTTTATGAACATTCACAAAAACGACAGCTAACTCGCAATCCAGGTGTGACACAATCTTTCAAATCTCATAAAGTGCATTCTTTTACGCTGCCCTTATCATGTGTAAAATATTATCTCATGAGATTTTTATTGCAATACAGTGAACTATTGATCACGGCCCCAACCGCAGTAGGTGAAAATCTTCATTCTAGACACATAAACATTTTTTACCCCTCCTCAAAACTGTGAAAACACTTAAACTTAGTCAAACTTACTTTTCCATTGCATCTCTTCTTCCAAATAAGAGGTAGAGCATGCTTACATCAAGCTTTTGTCACTCCCAGCTGAGGTTTTCAGTAAAACGGACGCATAAAACAAAAGAGAATTAAATATTTTATATCGTAAGGATTAGAGGTCTAGAAGATGAGACGTTGAAACACCAAAACATGAAACCAAACCATAGAATTTTGTGTGATCAAAGTCCGCTAGTTTAATGCTAACATACTATGAGAAAACCAATTGACGAGCTAAAGGAAATTTGTGTAGATGTTTAGATAATTAAAAACCCGACACCAACTATGTGTCTTTCACACTCACAAACATAGCAGACAACAATATGCACAGGGATATATCTGCTTTGTGCTGACGACAACTGTTAATGTATGCAGATTAGTTGGTAGCCTTGTCTGCATCTTCATGTTAAATATACTGCATCTTGTCCAGTAGACCTCCTGTAAGTGTTTGGTGTATGTTCCGCTCATTGCACAATGTGGAATGCACTGCAGCCGTGCAACTCTAAATTCGGGCTTCCTTCTATGTTGTAAAATTATATTCCAAAAAAATGCTTGAAACGCATTTTTAAAACGTTTAGTCTAGTGGTTCTTAACCTGGGTTCAATTGAATCCCAGGGGTTCGGTGAATTGGTCTCAGGGGTTCGACGGAGCCTCTGCCATGGAGGTTAAGACACACCCGACTCAACATGTCAATGAGTTCTGACACGCCCGCTTGGCCATCACTGGCTGCAGATGATCACATTACATTGCTTGTCCAATCAGTGCTGTGGGAAATTTAGTTCGCTCGGTCGTCAACGTGTGACGGACGTGATACTACGTTGTGTGATTTTTTTTTTTTAGAATGTTTTAATACATGCTAACTCTGTCGAGCAAAAAAAAAAAAAAAGGGCTCAGATGAATATGTACAACATGCATCACAGAACGTGATGGGACTCAGTGTCCTATCTGCATCGTTTGTCATGCCAAGTTGAGAAACTCTAGTCTCACACCGGCAAAACTGAAGGAACACTTCTTGAATCCAATTTTTTTAATTTTCAGTAAGGGTTCGGTGAATGTGCATATGAACTGATTGGGTTCGGTCCCTCTAACAAGGTTAAGAAACACTGGTTTAGTCAATGCCTGACGCAATCAAGTCTACTTTAGGATAAAAAGTAAGCTAAAGCAATACGCTGAGGAAGTCAAGCCAAAAATGATATAGACTAGGAGCATTTCATTCATTCAAAGGCTGTGTTTCTGTGTCAATACACCTACAGACTTGGAATCAGTGTGATGGCTATTTATAAATGACTATTGCCCCTCAATAAACATGATCATTCGCCTACGTTTCAGATCAGAAAATAAGTTGTGGTCGCCACTCTCATCAGAAGAAGGGAAGTCGCATCCCTACAAGATGAATCTTGCATCAGAGCCACGGGTGCGTGTCTGCAGACTCAACATCTAAACTGGAACTTGCATAATGACTGGTTGTCCCCTGTCATTTAGAGGGAAATCATCATATCAACTTACCGGTAGTCATATAGTTCTCTGCGAGTCTGAACATTTTCCGCACCGCACCCTTCCAGCCAACGATGAAGTAATTGTTTACTTCCCAACAGGAGGGTTTCCTAGACGACAGTAGTTTATCTGCCAAGCTCTGACGCAAGACTCAGTTCCTGTCTACTGAGTGGAAAGCAAAGGCCAGTGGGATGTGTCGCAGGCTGCGTGTCCTCCACAGGCCACCCTGTTTAGTTGCTGTGCAGTTTTGTCACAAACACGCGTGTTGAATGCCTGTATGCAATTTGTCACGTGGATGCCTTTTCACTCGTTTATTTGTCCAAACGATTGTGTCGTGACCTGCTTGATCTGTGACTCGGCTTGCTGTCAGTCTGTTCTGTAATTTCCCTACGGGATGCTTGAATCATGATCACATTGCTGTGTTGCGCCCCCCAAAAAATGATCGCCTTGTTTTCCATCTGTTACACACTCCTCTTAGTCGGTTTCACACAAAGCTTTAAGATTGTTGTCTTTCTTTGGCAGGAAGTGAAACAAATAGGCTCCGGCCACAACAGGAGTGCTCTGCCATTCTCTGGTTTTGGTTCCAAGGTTGTGACCAACCAGTACAACAACCCAGCTGGCCTTTACTCCTCAGAGAATATCAAGAACTTCAACTCGGCTGTGGACGAAGTCAAAACCTTGACAACCACCAACGAGCCCGAGACTGTGTAAGAACAAACCCCCATTTTTAAAATAATTTTTTAAACGGAAAGTCCTTATTAGCGGTATAGCTCCGCTTATTCAAGATTTGGGGTTGGTATCACCCCCTCCCACCAATGCAATGGGCATCAATTATTCACAGATTTTTTTTCCCCTGCTGTTTGAGGGCATACTCGGTCCCTATCGCTCACAAACACCAGGGTCCACTGTATATGAGGAAAAGATAAAATATTTCTAAATGCTCTGAACCCCTACAAAGGGTTATAAGTGGACTTGAACCAGGAGTGTTGGGGTTTTAGTGTTAGGGTGCGTCGTGGTTTCGGATGCTGGATGCTGAGCTTTCACAATTGCAAGAGCATCTGCAGCAATTGCGATGCATTTTTCAACCCTTTTGTCACTTTTGTCATTTCTGTCATTAAAATTTAGTTTATGCTGTTGGTCGGCGGCCCGGTAGTCCAGTGGTTAGTGCGTCGACCTCACAGTGCAGAGGTACCGGGTTCAATTCCAGCTCCGGCCACCCTGTGTGGAGTTTGCATGTTCTCCCTGGGCCTGCGTGGGTTTTTCTCTGGGTACTCCGGTTTCCTCCCACATTCCAAAAAACATGCATGGCCATGATTGAACACTCTAAAGTGTCCCTCGGTGTGAGTGCGAGCGTGGATGGTTGTTTTTCTGTGTGTGCCCTGCGATTGGCTGGCAACCAGTTCAGGGTGTCCCCCGCCTACTGCCCGAAGACAGCTGGGATAGGCTCCAGCACCCCCCGCGATCCTTTGTGAGGATAAGCGGATCGGAAAATGGATCGATGGATGGATGCTGTTGGTTTCGATATCATTTTCTGTCTACTAAAAGCATCGTTTGCCTTTTAATTACATTTAGTCCAACGCAGTCTCCTGTCGTAAATGTTATTGGCCCGCTTTTGCATCATGCTAATGTGATGCAGTGTTATGTCAACACACAGAAAGATCCCGTGTAACATTTTGCCTTGAGAGGATCTATTGTTTGTGGTTTATTCAAACGTATACACTAACTCGGTTGACACCTCCTTGCAGAGCTGCAGATCCAGCAAAGTCCACCAAGCGACCACCTATAGCGGCTGATTCAGAGGTCTACAAAATGCTGCAGGAGAACCAGGAGTCAGCTGAGCCCCCCCGACAGTCTGCTTCCTTCAAAGTGCTTCAGGAGATTCTTGAGACGGGTACGAATCCGATTGACTTTCACTTTAACGGTTTACCGTCCGTTTTCAACCGCCATTGTGAACAGGTTTGATTGCACTTAATATTCGCCACTAAATGTAAATAACATGTTATCAGTTCTATGTAATAAGGAGCTGAGGTCACAATGCAAAGTAACACAAAAGTGGTGGTTGATGTTTGTAGGTAATTCTGACAGACCAACAGGGTTCAGGAGTGTGAAAGCTCCAACAACGAAGATTGGCTCCTCCGTTGGAAATGCTGAGAAGCTTCCCATCTGTGATAAATGTGGATCCGGGGTTGTGTAAGTATTTAAGCCTCAAAAAAAAAAAATTCTCTCCATGTCATTAAATTTTCAAACTGGCAGACTCACCTGTTTAAATATTCTACTCTGGCGCCACCATGTGGCTAATTGCGGCCATGCTGGTTACCTTAAGTACAGTATCATATCTTGGTATGCTTTATTTGCAAATTAAAAAGTCCATACAGTTGTTGCCCAGGTAAAGATATGCTTTCACTTTTAAGGTTACCTCAGTACGACAATGTCACTCTGTATGAAGTGCAAGTAATTTAGCCCAAGGCTCAAATTAGAAACGCAATAAATTACAAATAAATTAAAACACATTGATTGCAACGACGTTAATGATGAAAAACAAAGCAGGCTTTAATTGATTAGAATTAACAGTAGTTTTTTTTTTCAAATGCTAGTTAAGTCCCCGGAGAGAGAAAAAATAGTTTGGGGTCAAGGGTGATTTTGGAGCTTATCCTATCTACTTTGGGCTGTGGACTACACCCTGGATTGACAGCGAGTCAATCAAAGGGCTCTCCCATTATTAAAAAAAAAATAATCATCATCATAATAATGATGATGATTTACCACAAACCACTTGCGTACGCATCGATAAGTGAGGCAAGTGGTTTGGGACCCCTACAATAAAAACTGAAAATGAGTCCCAACCCTAAATTTGAGAGGCTGCTGTGAAAAATCAACTAAGAATCACTGCCGTAATGCTGTGGTTGTTAAACTTTTTGTAATATAATAATTGTCAGAAAAAGTAACACTTAATCAAGCAGCCGCAAATCTGTGCTTTTGTTGTCTTTTCTTCTGCTATAGTTAATTTGCACTGCTTATGCCATTTTATTTCAATTGAAGAGGAAAGTGATCCCAGTTCATCTTGGAGTGGAGGTTGAATTGTTGACTTTTGTGACTCAGAGGGATGTTGGTGAAGCTGCGTGACAAGTTCCGACACCCTGAGTGCTACACCTGCACAGACTGTGACGTCAACTTGAAACAGAAGGGACATTTCTTTGTGGAGGACCAGATCTACTGCGAGAAGCATGCACGCGAGCGAATGACCCCGCCCGAGGGGTACGACGTGGTCACGGTCTTCCCCAAGTAGAGGGATCAATGACCTCAGCCTCAGACTGCACGCTAGTTTTTTTTTTTAAGACAATTCAAGGCATTTAGTTTCTACACTCTTCTTGTGCAGACACTGGAAGAGGAGATGGAACATGTTGATTTGCACACAAGAACTTTGGCATATGCAATACCTAAAGGCTTCATATTTTTAAATTCCAGGAAATTCCTGTTTTGCCACTGATTTGAATGATGATTAGTCCAGTATTCACAGGAAAAGGACCATGGTTTTTGTAGACGTTTGTTTTATAACACTTTTTTTTTTTTTTTTACCCCTGGGAACAAGGGACACAGTTTGACAACACACAAAATGCATAATTTTTGTATTGTTTTTATTGAATAAGACGATTATGCAAAACTATTTCAAAAACATTTTCATATCAATGCCAAATAAATATTTTAGTTTAATTAGTCGCCTTTTTGTTCTTAATTTGGTCGCCTCTGTCAAAGAAGTGCCCGTAAAACTAAAGTGCTATACTGTATCTTCAGCAAGACCGATCCAATAGCGAGAAAATAAAGCACATAAAAAGGTGAAGTTATTCATATGATGCAAAATAAATAAATAGCCACTTGTAAATGTTTTTGCACCCACTAACTGTGAAGGTGACCGTATAAATGTAGGCATCAGAATTTTATTGCCACTAATACCTGAGCTCTGTCTCACTGTAGAGTCTGTTGGGATAAAAGGTTGGTGAGGCACAACAGTTTTGATCAGAATGTGCCAAGTGAGCCTCGGCTCCATGTGGACAGGCCAGGCTGAGGGCAGGCAGGTAGTCGACATTGTGTTCCTGTTGCTCGATACGTAGAGTCGCAGTCAGGGCCCAGATGTAGTTGTGGGCAAACCGCAGAGTTTCTATCTTGGTCATTTTGGCATCCTCGGGCAGAGCTGGCAATATGTTTCTGAGCGTGTTCAGAGCACAGTTGAGGTTGTGCATCCGGTGACGCTCTCTGTCGTTGGCCTTCACCCGGCATCTGCCCCGCAGTGCGGATTGTACACATTTGCTTTGCCGCCTTTCATTTTGACGGGCATGTTCACTGTAGTCTTTTGCGTTGTGGGCATTTGGACAACTGCGTGTCACTGGGCTGCTGGATGTGTGCACGTCACTTCGCCCACAGTGCTCTTTGGAAAACATCCTGTTGAAATTCACTGAAATCATTACACATGGTCCCGCTTAATTTAACAGTATGTAAAATCAGTATATGTTCTGAAACATTTTTGCAATTTCCACCTTACAACTGGATTTGATTAATTATCAATGAATAATTTATTTGATTGATCATGAGTATTCACAACAAAATGGTACATCTGCACAATCCACTACAAGAGCTGTACAGCATTACAAATCTTTAGAAAATGTTCAGCTCAGCTGGCATTAAGATGACACAATGTGTATTATTGTGATATTAGTTACTATAGAAGTACAATGCATCATACTGAACACAATAAAACTAAAATAAACATAAAAAAATAATTTCTGGCTTTGTCAATCAAAAGTGATCATTGCATTGTTTTTCTAACCCCTTATAACGTTTATAGGAGCCATGTGCATGAATGAAGAAAAGACACGACACGTACCTGCATGTGGCAACAGGAGGCAGCAGACTGAGTGCTAGATGCGCATCCCTGTCATTTTATAAGGCCTTTATCTTATCTTTTTGTGCGCCTGAATCAACAGCATGTGTCGGATGGCCAATCAGCTTTCAGGCAGCGTGCCTTGCGCCCTCTCCCCGTCATCTGCTTCACTCCTATCCTCTCTTTGTGTGTTATATGCGTCTTGGAGAGAGCAACGCGTGCAAGGAAAAATATTTTGACTTAAATGGAATGAAACGGATTCACCTCGATTAGTAGACTTTCTATTAAACTTGTTGAACTTTGGTTGGATTTTTTTTCAAGACACGGAGCTGTATAGTGTTTAGTAATTTTGCTTTTTCCCCCCTTGCTTGATGACTGAGGGTCATATTTTTAAGTTTGGGGTCTTCAGTTCTGAGTATACAAAATGAACTGCAGTTGGGTGTTGATTTGTAATGTTCAGGTCAGCTGAACTTGAGACCTTAAATGAGGAAAAAGTTTTGAAACAACACTATTTATCACTGTTACCATAAATTCATTCATCCAGGTCATTTCTTTCATAAATCAATCGCACCTGGACTACTCTGTTAGTCTTAAAAGACGGATAAGAGGCAAAACGTCTCCCAAAAAACAGAAATACCGAATATCATTTCGAATGTGATGTTGAGTGACAACACGTCATAGTCGCTTAATGTGGTTTGACATTTGCTGATGTGATGGTGCATTTTACGCACTCGGGTGGAACAATTATGAGTCCAGTAATAGATAAAACGCAGTCCTCAACTAAACGGAAAGATCGGCAGCTAATTCATAAATGAGGCAAAATCCAGCGAAACTCTGACGTTGTTTTAAAAATAAACTAGCTCTGGTCATTATCCTAACGTACTGTATTTACGATGCGTACAACACACACTCAAAATGGCAAAAGCTAATAAATCTCAGATGCTTTTGTTCTTGCTTGACACTTCACGTATGGCACGTTACAAACAATGCATATGAATCGACACTACTTGATCTTACCATTAAAATATATTACATTTGAAGCCAAAGCCACCCATAAAGCATTGGAGCGCAACTGTTGTGAGCTGGACAAAGGTTATTACGCGTGGTGCCAGCCAAAAATGCCGTTTGGAAATGTGAGCCGTGTTGTTGGGCTATAAATGGTTGTTCCTATGTGACACAACCAATTCAACTCGATTCATACAATGATGTGAGCCATGCGTAAAGAGACCGCAACTGAAACATATCGTCACAACTTCAAGCCACGCAGTGCAAATAAATCATAAACAAGTTACATTTTCCTGAAAGCCCATGAACTGTCACTTGAAGTCTTGAATTTATTTATGTTGTGCGAGGGGTGAGGGTCCGCTTTCCAGATCTTAAACATGATTGCCGGTTTAAGGCTAAAATCATCCTCAACATTTTGTTCAAATATGTGTTTTGGGAACAATCTGATCGCCATATGCTTTCAATAAAGTGGACAAATACACGGGCGAGATATGAGACGTCTTTTTGCAATTGTAAAAGGCACGAAAACTCGAAGGTAAACGTAATACCCCCACTTAACAAATAATCAACGATGTCATATCCATATTGTGATATGACAGACAGGTGTTAGTTTAAAGGAGTCAGGTTTTTTCTTGTTTTTGGTTTTATCACTGTGCTGTCTTATCCTGCTTGTTATGCTAAGTGTGGGCAAACACAAGCACCCGTAAAAGCAGATATGACAGCAGAGTTGGTACGAAAAGTGATTTAACAATATTTAACAATACAAATGTCCAATCTCCAGAGCAGGTGATACCTGCACGATGCGCCTGGTTTATACTGCCCGACTACTTCACGCTCTCCTTTGCTTATTTATTAAACCAAATCTATTTATTATTTTAGCAAACAGAAGTACCAGGTGGGGCTTTATTTTCGTCTTCAGCTTTTTGTTTGAAGGACGTTTTGAGAAGGCCAATCCAAGTCCAACAACTCGCTGACCAGATTGTTATCAGGGACGCCTTTGAATGCGCCCCCCTCCTCACGCTCCTTCTGCCTAAGAGCTGCCGGGAGAGAGAAAGGGAAAGGGAAACTTCTTCAAGAAAGAGAAAACATCTTAAAAAACATTTAATTGCAACCCGGATGCCATATGTACAGCTCTTGTGAAACCCTTCAACAATGTGACTGTCTTTTACAAAGTATAGAGTGCGTCTTTGGAGACGTGTGCGCTTTTGGAGAGGTGCGCGCGTCGTGACCGGAATGACCCTGAAAACACTTTACACAAAGACGAATTCACTTTTAATGTGCTTTGGAGTTTCCTTTCACAAGCAATGCATTGTACATCTCACCTCATCTTTTGAAGCCAGTGTACACCAATTACAGTGAAATAGCTGTCGTCTGGAGGGGTTTTGTCTTTATTTTGTTCAAGCTTAAGGACACGTGAGGCTGCGCGTTCACAAAGATTCATTTGGTCTGGTTGCGTCTTGACCAATTTCTGATTTTAGTTGATGGATTTGGTTCGTGCTTAAAGTACCAAGTGTGCTGTTCACATCTCAAAGACCGAAATAAACATACACTAAATACTCTTATTCTTCCCAAACGAGCTTAATACTACTTGCAAGCAGGATAAGCGCCACGTGGTTAAATGAATAACTTCCTGATGGATTGAATGTAAACTGATTTTTTTTTAAAAGGCAGGAATTTGGATGCATTCGAAAGAGTCACCAGGATGTACAGGATTAGAAATAATATGTTGTGGTATGTGTCAGAATCAGAATCCTGGCGATTGACCAAATATGTTTAAAAACCCCGCAAGAAATTTGTTGCCAGTTGGTGGTGTCGCTGATTGTATAAGCAAAGACAGACATTTAAGATAAATACACAAATGTACAAAACACAGCACTGTCATGATTGTACATGGAAAAGGACCCAAAAGCACCAGGTTATTCAGTGATTCGAACATGCAGTCACCAGCTTTCTCCAAAAGGAGGCGGTGTAGAACATACAAAAACGAATACAGTACTGTGTTTGTGAAGGAAGAAGTGGACTATAAAAAGGTTTCCTGACGTAAATATACTACGTGCAGTGTTGTGTGAGTTTTTGGTAAAAAGATATGAAGTGTAAAAGACTGTGTCTCGCTGTATTGCTCAGGCTGTACTGCAGCGTCTATTCACAGGCGCGATCCCGCTACTGAGCGGTACGGGGGTTTTGAACTGCTCCGTTTCCGACCTGGGCCGGTGTACCCCTCCTCAGGCGACCTGGTGGTCCCGAGCTCCCCCGGGAGCACCATATCGATACCGAACTTAGCGCGGACACCCGCTCGACAGTCCGCTGCAGCTCAGAACCCCCGAGCTCTCACAATCCACCAGCCTCAGCCTCCCGGTAGCTTGGATTACAGGTACGCGCCACGTACCCGGCGAGAAAGCGTACCACCTATGGTGCTTTTGACAAGAATGCATGTGACGTCACCAAACGGTTTGACGAGATCATTTCCACGTACCCGGCGAGAAAGCGAAACACCTGTGGTGCTTTTGACAAGAACGCATGTGACGTCACCAAACGGTTTGACGAGATCATTTTATTTTTGTTGTTGTCAATTTATTTACACTTCGAAATTGTTGCTTGTTTTCCACTAAACCGTTGGTTGGCCCGCCAAGCATTGATGCTCAAACTTGGCAGAATTGTATGCTCGTGTTTATCGGTTGCCCTTTCCATGTTCACACATCCACTTACGAGCTGCATATAATATAACTCAAACACATGCAAAACAAAACCATACACACAGTGAATTCAATGTAAATATAATTTTCCTAAAATACTGTACATGTATGTTTTTCTTATAGTTTAGATTTTCACGTTGATTAATCTGCCATCTTGAGAAAATATTGCTTCCCAGAAGCATCAAAATTATTAGTTAAAATAGAATTTGGTCCTTGGTCTGTTTCATTAAGAAAATTAAATACAGAGCTAATCCTCGAATAATCCGGCAATAATAATAATATTAATAATAATAATAATAATAATAATTCAGCATGACTTGTTCCTGCAGTATACATGTATTATGTATTCGATGCTCTCTTCCCCTTTCACCCCACTGTCGTCTGTGTTCTGTTTATTTCTAACACTTGATATACTCCTTTTATTCTGTCTATAGAATGGATTTGACCAACAAGTCTGCAGGAGTATTCGAGACCCACTGCAGCTCAAACACATGGTCAGTAGGTATGGACCATTTTTGACACCGTTGATCTGCCCTCTCACCTGATATAGGCGTGAGACATTTTAACGTGTCACAGGAAATTAACCAATTTCAATACATACATCCAGTACATACATACTGTAATGCCCTTCAGTGTCCTCAAGGATGTATTCAGCCGCTGAAACAATCTGTTTGTGCTTTTTAATAAACAATACAGTAACAGACCACATACACACCAGAGCTGCTGACGGCCACTACTCACACAGATAAACTCCACACTCAAACTGCCTGTGCGGGCCAATTTTCCCCTCCTGCCCCCCACGCACAAAAAATAATGAATAGATATTACAATACATACATACATACATACATACATACATACATACATACATACATACATACATACATACATACATACATACATACATACATACATGTGTGTACTGTGGTGGCAGGTGCAGCCGTCAAATGAATTCAACAATATTGCAAAACAAGAAGAGTAAGACGAAGTAGAATCTAATCTCTCAGTTTTACTGTGATCTCTATGACAATAGAAACGACATTAAGAATACGTTCTTCGAAAGTGTATCGCTGATGTTTCTTTGAAGCGACGCGTTTCGCTTTTTGCCTGAATGTACAAATAGTATGGTGACAGATTTGTTGCCGGTGCTTTAAGTTTCCAGCGCGTTGTCATATTTGCGCATGCGCAGAAACTGAATCGGCTGCTGCTGACTTCCCGTATCCTCGTTAGCTCGTAGCTATGTTGTGTAGTAGTAGCATGTAGATGAGAACGAAGACCTCAAGCAGGCGGCTGGAGGTGACTTTCCTTTGTCTCAGACAGAAAAATAAGCTTGTCGGTTAAAAACCGTCTTGACAACATGGATTATTGGGTAAGTGGTGCTTCTTTCTCCGGTGTTTATGCATTTTTAGAAACGGTTACGCTGGAAACGGTGACAATTGTTAAAAGATCGTCTTGGGCTCAGGCTTGTTTATCAGTAGTTACGTGAGATAATAAGATGAGCTGTTGTCTGAAATAGGATGCTCTAAGTCCACACGCGTTGTTTAGTTGTGAACTGTGATGTAAAAGCATTACGGTCCGATTTATGGCGAGTTGCAAAACTGTTTACATGAACGCCTTGGCTTGAACTGTTGCCATACTCAAGACAATAGAGCGACAGCAATAAACAGTGCACTCACTCAAAATCGAATTGACTATAATGTACACGACGGTACCTCTCATTTAAAAGGTAACAGTGGTTGTACAGACGACCCTTCCTCTGTTAAAAAAACAACCATATTATATTCTAACAATCGTTTATTGTGGCGTCCATAGTTTAAAATTGGAGTTCCTGTTCAACTTGAGCCTGCAGGAAGTTATAAACAAAAGCTTTTTATCGCATGAGTGATGTGGAGTCAAATTTCGTGTCAAAGGAGGACAATGAACTCGTGAGCCATGACAACGGACGCAAGTAATGTACGGGGACAAAACTGAGGGGCACTCGAGGGCGGCTCATCTGACTCAGAACTTCCTCGGGGGCACAATTAACTCCACCGTCCCAGTCTGACCCTACTGTCGATCAGCCACAACAGTGATAATAGTCGTTGTAATCGTTTCATGAAACAGTGACCCCTACCAACTTGTTCCTCATTTGATTAATTTGGTGAACTGTGGGATCTGTAAATTTTCAAGATTTCACAGCACACCCAGTAAATTCCCTGAGAACACCGCCCTTTGAGACAACAAAAAGCCTCACTGAGTAAAACTACACTGACAGTCTTTGATATTTGACATTTACAAGTAAAGCGAAGCAATACAAAGTGGTTTAATAAAAATTACCAAAAGAATGTACAATGCAGGAAAATGATTTTGGAATAGTTGATCATAGAAATGCTCTGAAAGACCATAATCATGTATACGAGGGGGAAAAAAAGCATACATTTTGACCTGAATATAAAAAGCATGAAGGCACCACATCATAGTATTATACATAGATAATTGCCCCTGCAATTGATTGTTAAAAAAACAAACCCAATTCCAGTAAAGTTGGTACGTTGTGTTAACCATAAATAAAAACAGAACAAAATAATGTCCAAATCATGTTCAACCTGTATGTAATTGAATACACTACAAAGACAAGATATTTAACTTTCAAACTGATAAACCTTATTGTTTTTAGCAAATAATCATTAACATTGAATTTTATGGCAGCAACATGTTCCAAAAAAGCTGGGACAGTGTCATGTTTACCAATGTATTACATCACCTTTTCTTTGAACAACATTCAATAAACGTATGGGAACTGAGGACACTAAATGTTAAAGCTTTCTAGCTGGAATTGTTTCCCATTCTTGCTTGATATACAGCTTCAGCTGTTGAACAGCAGTTCGGCATCTCCGTTGTCATATATGTATAACACTTCATATAACTTGCCACACATTTTTTCAACAGCCAAGTCTGGACTGCAGGCAAGCCAGTCTAGTAGCTGGACTCTTTTACTACAAAGCCACACTGTTGTAAACATGTGCAGAATGTCGTTTGATTTTGTCTTGCTGAAATAAGCAGGGTTGTCCATGAAAACTACACTGCTTGGCCGGCAGCTTTTGTTACTCCAAAACCTGTATGTACATTTCAGCATTAATGGTGCCTTGACAAATATGCAAGTTACCTATTCCACTGGTACGAACACAGCTCTGTAACATCATAAATGCTGGCTTTTGAACTTTGCGTCCATAACACTCCGGATGCTTCTTTTCCTCTTTGGCCCAAAGGACATGACTTTTGAAATGTCAAAAGATGATTTAAAACGTGGACTCGTCAGTCCACAGAACACTTTTTTCACTTTGTATTAGTCCATCTTAGATGAGCTCGGGCCCAGGGAAGCCGGTAGCGTTTCTGGGTGGGGTTGATAAATGGTTTATGTTTTGCATAGTACAGTTTTAATTTGCACTCACGGATGTAGCACTGAACTGTATTTACTGACATTGGTTTTCTCAAGTGTGGTGATGTCATTTACACACTGATGTCGGTTTTTCATGCAGTGCTGCCTGAGGTATCGAAAGTCACGGGCATTCAATGTTGGTTTTCGGCCTTGCAATTCAGGGAAGCGAAAAACAATAACATTTATCAGTTTGTTATCTCTGAGGTGTCTTCAATTAAATATAGGTTGAAGATGATTTACAAATCATTGTATTCTGTTTTTATTTATGTTTAACTTCACTGGAATTGGGTTGGTATTTTGTATTGTTAAGAAGAAAATTCTTTTTAAATAAAATGTCAATTGTGGCACGCAAATATTGTGTCCAACTATTTTTCAACCATATGTCAAAAAGGATTTGGTAAAACAATAAAAATAAAAAAAAATCTTGTAATATTTGCTTAAAAAAATCAAGTTTGGTACAGACTTTACATGATGCCCAGATTTTTGAGAAAAGCAAGAAACATTAAGTATTCACACTTTACAGCATTTGCTTTAGTGGGCCACATGAAATGATGCAATGGTTCAGAGCTGACTCCCTGGGCCTTAAGTTTGACACCTGCTGTTTAGTGAATGGAACAAAAAGAAAATATCTGTATGTAAAAGTCGAAAGAGATGCCTTTTGAACTCATGTGAGATAGGGTTTAAATCTTTTTTTTTTAATGACAGAAGAAGCTGTGACATGCAGAACTTCCACCTCTATCTTAATAAACAAAAACATTCTCAACTGTTGGGTTTGGATGCAAAAATGGGTCACAGACCCATAATGAGTGGGTCGTAGACAGCTACTAAAAAAAATTACAGGGGCTCCTTTTACGACAGTTCCAACATACAGCGTTTCAAGTTTGTGAATGGTATTAATAAAAGTAAAAATAGTAACGATTAACTCTTTTGCTCCTCCCTGCCCGCTTTTAAACAGTATTTTACTTGTGCTCCCTCAATGTGAAAACCAATGTCTGTGTTTTCTACTCCTACTACTACGTGGAAAATGACATGACGTCAATAAGACGTACCTCGGGCGAGGTCAAGTCAACCGTGCTTGAGATATTGATTGATTGAGATCTTGGGGTCTTATAAAGTGGAAAAAATGGACAGCACTGACATGGTGGAACGTGAACTAGGAGGGAGCACTCACAACCACAATAACAGATTCGGAAAAACAAGGTATTCCCCAATTCATTGCCTCATCGTAACTGTTTGATGGTGTTGGCGACAGGAATGATCTTTGGCAAATGTGTCGTCTTGTGACAGCCCAAAAACCACCTGCTTTGACCAATCACATATTTCTGGTCTAATCTGAAAAATCCTAACCAAATAAAATGCGTTTGTTTCAGTTGCTGTCACATTAGCTTATTCAGCTTTTTTTGATACTTTGTTCAAAACATTAGCAAATCTTATGGTTAAGTGTGCAGAAAACTTAAGTTATCCAATCAAGTATTGTAAATAATTGGCTGTAAAATATATATATTTTTACCTTTTTCTTTAGTACTTAAGTCCAAGATGTGATGTTTACTTTTTTCGAGTTAGAGGAGTTGAATCAGTTATGACTTTCCCCCAATTATATGTATGTCTCCTTACAGTAAGTCCACACTACAGAATGAGAGTACTTTTGCCACATTTGGCTAAAGCAGTGTGAACTCTCCATTCAATCTGTGGTCCTCGTTCCCAACTCATCTATCGCTTGGTGCGGCTTACCTTGCCAAATCTGTTTGCAATAACCCTAACATACACCAGCATTGTCAAACTAAACTTAAGCTGTACTGTTTTTAATATCAGAATATTCACCACATGCCTCTCTGACTTGAGGATACTGGAAATAATGATACAACCTGCCCAAAGTGCCCAGCAATGGAGTGTTCTTACTGCTGAGCAGGTTGTGATGAGTTAAGATGTTATCTTTTTGAACCTTAAGCTTTCCTCTATCACTTAACCGATGAGGTGGGCGTACATGTACCCATGCTATCGGACCTATTGTGTCATAAAATTTCCCAAGGTAATGATAAATTAAAGCAACCATAATCTGTCTTTTGTCATTTTTTTTCCCACTGTGATTAAAACGCATCAGCGTTACCAATACAGTACGCTGTGTATTGGATTTTAGGATGATTTGAGGGTTTTTGCAGGTAGATTGTTAAATTGCGGCAGTCTGCTGCGTGTGTTGATTAGCAGTGCGGCCGCAGGGAGGAGTCTGTGGTGATAGACGTTGAGTCATCTGAAAAAGTAGCTCGCTTCTCTGTTTGGAGAAAGACGAGTACGGTGGCGTCTGAGCCATTTGCATTCAGCAAACTGCTGCCGGTGTTTGTGAGAGGGGAAATCTGATCTCTCTAGAGCCAACAATGCCTTATGATGTAAGTACATCAGCAGCCTATGCATCCATTATTGGGTCATTATTTATTTACATCTGTGTGAGTGAAAATATTTCTTCTGGAGATCTTTGCCCTGTACAATAATTGGATCTCCCATTGATGTGCATCTATGACTGATGACTAATTGTGCTAAGCAATTTGACTTGATTGAAATATCAGATATAGTGTGATACGTGATCGAACCCAATCCAAGAAAATGTTCAACCTCTAAATAGCTTCGATGCTATTTTTCCCACTGGACATTTTGGCGATAGAAATAATCCATCATAAATTCCAATTGCCAGGCAGCATTCCGCTTGAAATTTTTAAACCTTTAACCACTGTTAGTATTCAGGCAAAAGGTAGTCAAATAATCTTTGCTATAATGGCGAATTACAAATGATAATGCGGAGTTAAGAAAAGTCTTGGAATTTATGCAGATGTCTTTTGTAGTACCATGAATGACAGTGCTTTCTACAACACCCTTGTGACGATTTGATCTGATTCTGAATTTAATGACTTTAGTGGTTTCTCCACAGCAGCAAGGCCGTAACATTGACATTTCTCACCTTGTTTTAATCCGAGTTTTGAACACATTAACACAGTGGCCTTCAATCTACGTCTGTGTTACTTTTATTGGCCGAGCTTGACACACGTGCTGCTTGTCTGCATCTTTCAAAGTGAGAGTAGTGCTGCTAGGTTTTGGGCAGAAAAACAATCCTTTTTTTTTTTTTTGGAAAGAAATTTGACATTGAGGATTTTTTGCTGGTCATACATAAACCCTATCACGTGAGTGTCGATTACACTTGGTAGGACATGCGGTGGACTCCTATTGTACAAATATTTCTGACAAGACATTGTGACCTTGAAACCAGAATAATAGTCTGTTTCTGTGTGTGTGTGTGTGTGTGTGTGTGTGTGTGTGTGTGTGTGTGTGTGTGTGTGTGTGT